ACAATACAGATTAACCATTGCAACACGTTCATGCCATATTTACTGTAAAAATGCACGGCCTACTTTATTTTTAATTAATTAGTATTTATTTATATTTAACATAAGAGATGTGTTTCGAAGAATGAAGCTACAAGGATCAGCAGGACAGGAGGATGGAGTCATTTCTTTAGAGACACAGTCTTGCTGTGCAGTCCTGGCTGGCCTTTAGCTTGATGTTTTGCTGAGGAGGACCTTGAAGTTCTGATCCTCTTGCCTCCACCTCCCAAGTACTTGGGATTACAGGCATGAACCACCATCCCCAACATTATTTCCCTCCAGTGCTAGGAAAAGCCCAGGGCCTCATGCATGCCTGGTAGGTAAGAGCTCAACTGCTCGGTTCTGTCCCGTGTGTCCCATATGTCCCCTATGCTCAAAGTTTTAGACTGAATGTAGATTTTGTTTATAAAAGGGGAAGGGAAGACATGTCCAGAAATCACTCTGATGCCATCCTCTCAGGATGCCAGCTCAAGCCCCTTGCTCTATATGAGACTGCTGTGTGCTCTTACCTACGCTCTATATGAGCCCCTGCTGTGTGTGCTTACCTAAGTGAAGTTTGTTGTTTACCAAAGTACTGCCTGCCCTGCCCTCCAGAGAGGCAGCGCATCCACAGGGTCACCCCCGGAAGTTCACCTGGGGTGACATCGGGTCGTGTCTGACTGCAAGGACAGCCACAGCTGAGCTCTGAATTCTTAAGCTCCCTCATCAGTTCTCTAGTTCAAGTGGCCTCTGTTGACCTCAGCAGTGAAGCAAACTTGCTTCTTGTGTTTCCGCTCAAGAACAGGAGCCGAGTTCAGTCTATCCTGCTCCCTCCTGCCACCGTAAATTCAGTCCTTCCTAGGTCAAGTCGCCACATTGAGAGTTTGCTGAGAAAACCAACCCGTCTTCCATGCTGAGCTGGGTCTAATGGATTTCTCTTAGGCTGTGTGTCCTCTTAAGAAAAGCCAAGTTCAAATGTAATATCCCGTAATTTCACTGTGGAAAGTAGGCTGTGTAAATGTCTAGGGTTGCACCAAGCAGGGTTTCAACTTCTGTGCCTTTCTTCTCTCAGAGTACACGTGGCCCTCAATTAAGTAAGAGTTAAAAATCCTTTCTCCCTTCTGAGTCCACTGTTCTCACATTAGCTTTGTTTATGAAAACGACCTGGAAGAGGGGGGTTTGCTGTTTGCAAAATCATGGCCCATGGTCAGTTTTGTGCAGCCAGTAAGCTGAGAATGGTCTTTATTTCCTTAAATGGCTGAAAGCATAAAGGTGAGTTATATTCCCAAGCATGTGAAGAATAGATGCAATTCAAATCGAAGTGTTTATAATAAAATGTTATTGGGATGCAGCTATTCATATGCATTTATACACTTCCTGTGACCACAAGGCATCTGAACGGTTGTGACAGAGACTAGAGAGGACACAAGGACATTACAGGAGACGCTGACAACCTCAAGGCCAGCTCTTGGCTCTCATGTCTTCTTTTGGAGGTAGAGAGTGTATGGGGGAGCAAACCCAGAACCTCATGCATACTGGAGTTGTGTTCTACCATTGAGCTCTGTCCCTGGACCTCTTCTGACTTTGGAGACAGGGTCTTACTGAGTTGCTCAGGCTGGCCTTTCACTCACTCTATAAGTCAGGCTAGGCTTGAACTTATAATTCCCCTGCCTCAACTTCTTGATCACAAGCCTGTACCACTAGGCCGAGTGCAGTGTTCTGTTTGTTTGTTTTTCGTTGTTGTTTCTTTTTCTTTTTCGACAAGGTGTTAGGTATCCAGGCTGGCTCCAAACTCGGGTATATGGCCCAGAATAACCTTGATCTTCTGTGTCTACCTCCCCAGTGCTGGAACTACAGGCTTGCACCACACTCCGTTTACAAGGTTTTTGAGGATCAAACCCAGGGCTTTCTGAATCCTAAGCAGACACTCTACCAACAGCTACATTTCAAATCTCTGTATTTTTTTTCTTATATTGTTTTAGGTTTATGGTGGTTTAAGTTAGAATGGGCCCCATCAGTTCACATGTGTGAATGCTGGTCCCCAGTGAGTGGAACTGTTTGGGAAGGATTAAGAGGTGTTTCACTGGGGGTAGGCTTTGAGGTCTCAAAAACCCATGCCAGGCCCAGTCCTGCTTTCTCTCTCTCTCTCTCTCTCTCTCTCTCTCTCTCTCTCTCTCTCTCTCTCCTCTCTCTCTCTCCTCTCTCTCTCTCCTGCAACTTGGGGCTCAGATATGAGCTCTTAGCTACTGCTCCAGTGCCATGCTTGGCTGTCTGCTGCCATGCTCTCCACCATGATGGTCATGAACTAACACTCAGAAAATATAAGCAATTCCCCAGTTAAATGCTTTCTTCTAAAAATTGTCTTAGTCAGGGTGTCTCCCCATAGCAATAGAACAGTAATTAAGATAGATTTATTATTTTATGTATATGAATGTTTTGCCTGCATGTATATATGTGCAACATGTACATGCCTGGTGCCCAAGGAGGTCAGAAGAGGGTATCAAATTCCCTGGAACTGGAATTAAGAATGGTATTGAGCCACCATTTGGGTGGGTGCTGGGAATGGAACCTGGGTCTTCTGTAAGAGCAACATTGCTCTTAACTGCTGGGGCATCTCCCCAGCACCATCTATATGTTTTTAAAGGCCAGTTTAAAAACAAGAAAAGTGCTGTTCATTGAATTACATTTTCTTTTTTGAGACAGGCTCTCATTATACAGCCTTGACTGGCCCAGAACTGGATATATAAACCAGGCTGGCCTCAAACTCGCAGGGATTGTGGTAGTTTGAAAGAAAATGCCCCCCAAAGGGAGTGGCACTATTAGGAAGTATAACATTGTTAGAGTAGGTGCGACCTTGTTGAAGGAAGTGTGTCACTGAGGGGGTGGGCTTTGAGGTCTCCTATGCTCAAGCTACACCCAGTGAGACAGACCACTTCCTGTTGTCTGCAGATAAGATGTGAAACTCTCAGGTCCTTCTCTAGCACCATGTCTGCCTGCATGCCACCATGTCCCACTATGATGATAATGGACTGAACCTCTGAACTGTAAGCCACCCCAATTAAATGTTTTCCTTTATAAGAGTTGCCATGGTCATGGTGTCTCTTCACAGCAAAAGAAATCCTAACTACGACAGTGATCCACCTGCCTCTGTCTACTGAGTGCTGGGATTAAAAGCACAGGCTACCAGCTTGGGGGTGGGGGCACATAGCAGCGGCGCACGCCTTTAATCCCAGCACTCGGGAGGCAGAGGCAGGCGGATCTCTGTGAGTTTGAGGCCAGCCTGGTCTACAAAGCCAGTTCCAGGAAAGGCTCCAAAGCTACACAGAGAAACCCTGTGTCAACAAAACAAAAAGAACAACAACAACAACCAAACAAAAGCACTGGCTCCCACACCCAGCCTGAATAGCTTTTTAAGAATGTGAACAAACTGAATGTGTCTTGAAGGCTTGCTTTCTGTCCTCTCCATTTCTGCCACCTAGCACTACCGAATCCACAAAAGGTCTGTGTTCACAAATGTCACATTGCTAAGGGTGCAGTTTTCTTTCTAGTTTCCCTGCTTGTCTGTTGGCTAGGAGCTGCCAGGTTACTGGTCAAGACTAGCATTTAGGGCTAACGGCTTTTAGGCTGCACATCTCCATTTAAGATATTTCAGACTCATTTTTATTGTAAGTTCAAATCCACATTTGTCAGCAGTACCTGAGAATGCTTTTGTTAGACATTGACCCCTTGTTACTTGATATATAAACATCCCTGAAGGTACTAAGCTTAAGGGGTCTGTGCTCCAATGACAAGTGTGACCATTTTCACCTCATTTCTTATAGTAGGTGAGGTGTCATTTTTCTTTGAGACAGCAATTCATGTATCTCAGGTTGGCCTTGAGCTTTCTATGTAGCTAAGGATGTTCTGCCTCCATCTCCAGAGTGCTAGGATTACACACACATGCCAGTTTATGCAGTGCTGGTGATTGAACCCAGGGCTTCATGTGGACGAGGCAGGCAATCTCAGAGCTAAGTCCCCAGCCTCATTAAATACATTTAACACATGAAATCAGGCTATAAAAGGCCACAGCCATGGAAGCGTAATCACAAGTGATCCTTCCCTAAATGTTTGATGGATGGGCCAGGGCCACACCAAACTCACCTGCTTACTCTAAGAGATGTTCTCAGGCTGTCTCAGGCAGAAGGCACACATTTCTCTGAAGACAGTGTGCAGGTTTGCTGCTGAGGCTACCTCTTGACAACCCCATTTACCTAGCACCAGAGCAAGCAAGCGTGCTTTCTGTTAATTCTAGGGAAAGCCTCAGGGTCTTCCAGCTGCGTGTGTAACTAGCAGTGAACCATTCGATCTTACAGCGTTTCTCTTTTCCCAAAGCAGCAAGATTCCAGCCCCATTCCCTTTCTTTTCTCTTTTTCTTCCTTCTTCCCCACTCCACAGTCTTCATTGTGTGTGTGTGTGTGTGTGTGTGTGTGTGTGTGTGTGTGTGTGTGTGTTCACATTAGAGTGCAGGTGCCCTTAGAAACCCTAAGAAAGACAATGGGTCTTAACTCCCTGAAGTTGCTGCTTCAGGCAAAGTGTGAGCTGCTCGATGTTGTTGATATGAGTATTGGGGACTGAACTCAGGTCCTTTTTCAGGAGTGGTACACATGCTTCACCACAGAGCATCTCCGTAGCAATGTAGACCTTTCTTTCTGAATGTACTTACTTTGCCTTTATGCTCTATTTGCTAAGACAAAGATGTGTCACTAAGGCAATGAGATAATGGGAGCGTTAACTGGGCTTTATTTATTTTACAGCCCTGGGGCTCAAACTCCAGGCCTTACATACGCAAAGCAGGCACCCTGGCACTAAGGCCCCAGTCCAGCCCAGCCCTTCCAATCCATCTCAGTTTCTTTGGTTTTGGAGCCTCCCCTCTACCAGAGTCTCTCTCCAATGTGTCCACAGGTCTTACAGCTCTGCTTAGGCTAGGCACGGTCCCTGGCGTTCTGCATGATTAAAATACACAGCTGACAAACCGGAAGAGTTCTACTACAGACAGGGGTCTCTCCAGAGAGGGCATGCTAAGTTGTTTACAAGTTTCTTCAGCAGTTCTCCTGGCGCTCATGCATTCAGTCTTCATTACGTCACGTTTCTGCTGTCCAAGATTCCAGCCACCCTCCCCATTTTCACGGAAGCCGAGGGCAGTGCACGTGAACTGACTCATTTCTCCGACTCCGACCTGAGCTCCACACTGATGTACAACCCACTGCTTCAAAGCGGCTCTGATAACAGTCAGCACGTTTCCTTTTCTACAGACATAAAAGAGAATTGTTTTAAAGCCTCTACAGACACCCTCTGTGTTTTTGTTAGTCCTAGGTAATCAGGTTTGGGCATCCTAAAAAATCATTTTCTGTTATCACCACCCACCGAAACACCAATTGATCTCTACGTAATTTCCCCAAACAAATCAACTTTTACATATTATTTCAGTGATGTTTGTTTCTGCTATGAAAACTATTGGCATTTGTTCGTCTTCAGAATCTTCTGAAGGAATGCCTCTACCTTCGCTTTCTTTTTAAGAGTTCTGCAACGGTTCTTTTTAAGTGCCTGCAGAGGTTGTATTTGCTCTCCCAAAGGGCCTGCCTGCCTGCCTGCGGTGTAAGTTTCCATTTTTCTAGAGCTCAGCAACCTTCTCCCTGACTCCACTGCGGGACAGCCTGAAATCTGGGTGAGAACAAGTGTACAGGAACCGGCTTCTGGATGTGCAATGCCTAGTACTGGGAGGGGAGGGAGGGAGGGGAGGGGAGGGGGGGGGGGGGGAGGGGAGGGGAGGGGAGGGGAGGGGAGGGGAGGCAGATTTCTGTTTGAGGCCAGCCTATCAAGTTCTAGGCTAGCCAGGGCTACATAGTGAGACCCTGAATCCTGTAACAAAACCAAACCAGCCTCCAGGCAGCAGTGGCACACACCTTTAATCCCAGCACTCGGGAGTCAAAGCCAGGTGGATCTCTGTGAGTTTGGGGCTTGTCTGGTCTACAGAGCAAGATCCAGGACAGGCACCAAAACAACACAGAGAAACCCTGTCTCGGAAAAAAAAAAAAATCTAATATGCAGGATGGTCCTAGGTGACCCCTGTGAAAGGATCATCTGCCCCTCAAAGGGGTCATGACCCATAGGTTGAGAACCACTACTCTATGTAGCCTTAGCTGGGTTGAAACTCACAGTCTTTCTCTCTTTGCCCACTAGGTGCTGTGATTACAGGCACATGCTACCACACCAGACAGCATTATTAACTAAGTTAACAACAACAATAACAGCAAAACGTCTATATCAAGACAAGACAGGGGGTAGCGAGATGGCTCAGAGGGTAAAGACATTGGTTGTCAAAGCTGACAACCTGAGTTCACTCCCCGGGACTCACAGGGCAAAAGGAAAGAAGCAACTCCTGGGTGTTGTCCTCTGACCTCCAAATCAATGCATTCCCTCCCACCCAAACAAACACTTAAAAATAGAACACAAGATGCTTTCAAATCTGTATATAGCACCGTGGAATGACTAAAGCAACCCATTTTAAAACAAACATCTGGGGGCTGGAGAGATGGCTCAGCCGTTAAGAGCACTGGCTGCTCTTCCCGAGGACCTGGGTTCAAGTCCCAGTGCCCACATGGTAGCTTACAATTGTCTGTAACTCCAGTTCCAGGGGAGCTGATACCTTCACACCAGTGCACATAAAGTAAAGTTAAAATTAAAAAACAAAAAAAAGTATCTGAGAGGCTGGAGCAAAGGCTCGGTGGTGAAGTGTATTTGTTGCTCTCATAGAGGACCCAGATTTGGTTCTCAGTACCCACATGGCAGATCACATACATACATGCAGGCAACATTCATAAACATAAATCAAACCTAAGGATAAAAAAAAATTAAAACAAGTATTTGGTCATTTACTCTTTTGTTTGTTTGTTTTTTTGTTTTTCGAGACAGGGTTTCTCTGTGTAGCTTTGTGCCTTTCCTGGAACTCACTTGGTAGCCCAGGCTGGCCTCGAACTCACAGAGATCCGCCTGGCTCTGCCTCCCGAGTGCTGGGATTAAAGGCGTGCGCCGCCGCCGCCACCACCACCACCTGGCTGGTCACTTACTCTTTTGGGCTCCAGTAACATGACAAATTATACAGTTTCAGCCATTTGTTCCCTCTTTCTTCCCACTAGGTTCTTAGCTTCCAGACCGTGGACTATCTTAGCGTTGTATGCCTACACCCCTTCCTCTTGGGAACCCCAACATCTAGTCTTCCTCCAGCCATTCAGATTGGCCTAGTCCTCAATGGGAAAGAGAACTGGTTTTGTCTTCTACATTTGCTAAGTGAACTGGGTAAGTCTGAAACTGCCAAATTATCTTTCCTGGCTGCATGGAAGGGCTCCCCAGCAGGCGAAAACTCAGGGCCAGGTACAGACACGGGGCCCCGGTGAGCCTGGAGATGTGGTGGGAACTTTCTGACAGCTATGCCTGAACCTCAGCTTCAGCCCTGGGCTTCCAGGTGTGTATGAGGTGGGAGGTGGGGGTGGGAGCTGGGGAAGGGGGTATATGTATATTGTGTATATGTGCACAGTGGCGCATGTGGGGACCAAAAGCCAACCTTGAAAGCCATCCTGTTTGGGTTTTATTTTTGATGCAGGGTTCCTTATGGGGTTTGGGACTCCCGGATTAGTCTAACCCAGCTGGACAATGAGCCCCATGATCATCTTTATTTACTCTCCCAGAAATGAGACCATAGGCATGCAGCATCATGCCTGGCTTTTCTGTGGGTTCTGGGGATCAGACTCAGACCCTCATGCTTGTGTGGCTGCCCTATCAACAGATAGGGCTCTCCCTCGCCCCTCATTTCCTGTTTCTGCTTTCATTTGAGTTAGGCCTCTGTTAACTCTCAACCAAGGATTCTGCCACAAATCTAGAGTTTCTATGAGTTGGTGGGAAAAATGTAAAAGTAACAAAGGATTAGATGATATTTCAAATCTTTTATGACTTTTAGGCTGTGGTGTCTAGTTAATTTATTATAGACCAAACAGGATCATGATGTTTCATTGAACAATAGTTTTAATCATTTTTTCCCCAGAAGTGAATGTGGGGTAAGGACAGGTAGTAATTTTAATGAACCACAGACTTCAACCCCTGCCAAGCTTTTAATTTCCTTTGGATATATCTGAGTTATAAATTGTTTGGACTTACTCTGTTGCCTAAGCAAATAGTTTTATCATTAGAAAATTTTCTATCTTTAAGTGAATTGGATATGAGCAAATTGCCTTCTTTTTTTTCTAAAAAAAAAGATCACCTTTAATTCCAGCACTTGGGAGGTAGAGTCAGGCAGATCTCTGTGAGTTCAAGCCAGCCTGGTCTACAGAGCGAGATCCAGGACGGGCACCAAAACTACACAGAGAAACCCTGTCTCAAAAAACCAAAAAAAAACAAAAACAAAAACAAACCCAAATCATTATTTTCTACAATTAATTTCACATATTGGTATCAGTTCATTCCAGAGAATTTTACAAAGCAGAGAAAGTTTGTTGTTGTTTTTGGTACAGGGTGTCATGTAACCCAGGTTGGTCTTGAACTCACTACATAGTAGATGATAACCTTGAACTACTGTTCTTTCTGCCTCCCTCTCTCTAGTGCTGGACTACAGCATGCACCACCATGCCTCGATTAAGAAGCATTTTTAAAAATGATTTATTTATTTTTATTTCATGTGCATTAGAATTTTGACTGCATGAGGGTGCTGGGCCCCCTGGAACTGGAGTTACAGACAGTGGTGAGCTGCCATGTGTGTGCTGGGAATTGAACTCGGGTCCACTGGAAGAGCTCTTAACTACTGAGTCAATTCTCCAGCCCCTAAGAAGCATTTTTTAAAAGTAGTCACCTTAACCTGCTAAGTTAATTATTTTATTTTATTTTTACAGAGAGAACCATATATTTGCTCTTGGGTGATTTTTTTTTTTTTACATTCAGACAGTTTTGATATAATTTATTCAAAAAGAAAAATCTCAAATTTCAAGTAAGATGATCATTTTTTTTATATCATATTCCTGAAAAGAGCAAAACCATTTGTGTGACATTGGAATGTGAGGTATTGTCAAGACTACTTCTCATTCACTATCTGCGAAGACGCAACCTCAAATATCCATCAGAGAGGCTGTTAAGTTATGATATATCTGGAAAATGCAATAAAATTAGCAGCTGAAAAAAATGGGATAGAGTATGTGTGACAAGGAGAAATTGCCAAGGTGCATTTTGTGAACTGATGATTCAATCAACGTCTATTTATTGAGCACCTTCTGAATGTCAGATACTGTCTCAAGCAGCAGGAAAATAGAAGTTAGGGCAGACGAGGCCTCTGAATCACATGACTACATTAGTATCTTTCTTTCTTTCTTTCTTTCTTTCTTTCTTTCTTTCTTTCTCTCCCCCTCCCCCCAGATGAGATTTCTCTGTGTAGCTCTGGCTGTTCTGGAACTCGCTCTGTAGACCAGGCTGGCCTTGAACTCACAGAGATTCATTCCCTGCCTCTGCCTCCTGGGTGCTGGGATTAAAGGTGCACACCACCACCACCTGGCTATCTGTGAAGTTTTTAAGAAAGCATGGTATATACTATTACATGTAGTGTGTATATATGACATACACAGTGTTGCAGGATATTTGTTTACACTGTATGAAGATATGTTGCTCTGATTGGTTTAATAAAAAGCTGAATGGCCAATAGCTAGGCAGGAGAGAATAGGTGGGACTTTGAGGGAGAGAGAGGAACTCTGGGAAGAAGAGAGGCAGGGAGATGCAGGAGGGACACAGAGGAAGTTGGACGTACAGAATGAAAAAGAGGTAAAAAGTCATGCGGCAGAACATAGATTAATAGAAGTAGGCTAATTTAAGTTTAAGAGCTAGTTGGGGGAAAAGCCTAAGCCAAAAGCTTTAGCTGAAAGTTTTCCTGTGTCCTGCCCATCTGGCGGTCAAGTCTTTCCCACTTGTGTCCCCCAAGTAAATATACAGAGGCTTATATTAATTATAACTGTTCAGCCATTAGCTCAGGCTTATTACTGACTAGCTCTTACACACTTAAATTAGTTCATAATTCTCATCTATGTTTAGCCACATGGCTTGGTACCTTTTCTCAGTTCTGCCTTGTCATCTTGCTTCCTCTGCGTCTGGCTGGCGACTCTTGACTCAGCCCTTCCTCTTCCCAGAATTCTCGTCTACTTGCCCCACCTATACTTCCTGTCTGGCTACTGGCCAATCAGTGTTTTATTTATCAACTAATCAGAGCAACACATATTCACAGCGCACAGAACAACATTCCACAACAAAAGGCCAAGTTTTCATAATTAATAATAAGTCTCCATGTCATTATGGCGGGACTGGCAGTCTCAAAAGAAAGCTTACTATAACACAGTTTTTGTTATTATATATAGTCTATATATACTACTATAATATATATGTACATACATGACAGCATATATATATTGTTTTTATTATATGTACTACATAGATGCTATTGTACTAATAAACACAATTCATAGATGGACACATATATTTGACAGTATATATATAGTTTCTGCTTTTTTGAGACCAGGGTCTCTTTATCCAAGACCAGCCTTGAGCTTGCTATATAGTAGAATACAACCTTCAACTCTTTTCTTTTTGACCTTATTTGGAAGCTGTCCCTGGGTCTGGATGCCTGATTTAAGTGTGACCTTTGGCCTAGTTCCCTGCAAATGCTCCCCCTCTGCTGTCCATATGACAATTAGGTATTGTGTTCCAGCTGTATGGGAGGTTTAGGTGATGACCTAGCTGCTGTCCCCATCCTATATATTTCCCCTTACTCTGAAATGAAGTCAAGCTGTCTCACTGAAGCAGACTTCTGGAAGGCTATTTCTGTTATACTCACAGGCTGTACAAAGCCCTGCATGCTGCCTCTGCTCCCTTTGTCCTCACTGATTGGTGGCCGTGAGGAAGAGGAAGAGCCCACACCATTGCCTCCAGAGGCTGGGGTTAAAGGTGTGGGCCACCACGACCAGCATCTTGAACTCTTGATCCTTCTGCCTCTCCAGTACTGGTTACAATTACAGATCACACACTAGGATAGTCTAGGTTTAAACAAACAAACATGCAAATATATAACATAGATAAAAGTATAGTTTAAAAGATGACCATGGGTTTTATTTTTGTCATTTGCTTATTTATGAGGTTGGATTATTTTTGTCCCATTTATTTATTTATGGGGTTGGGGAATTCGTACCACAGTATGCATGTGGGGAGTCAGAGGACAATTTTGGGAGTCAGTCTTTCCTCTACCATGTGGCTTCTTTGGATTCAGTTCAGGTTGTAAAGGGTTGTAGTAAATGCCTCTATCTGCTGCACCATCTGGAAGGGCCTGCATGTGGGCCTTGAATTATTCCATTTATCTACTCATGTTTGCTTTGCAAACTTCTGAAAGGTTACCTAATGAGTGTTGACGTGATTTTCCCTGGGAAGTGTGTGTAGGGGTATTTGAGGTAAGAGGGGAACTTCTCCATTTAGCTTCAGTGTAGTGTACGACTATTTCATTCACATGTTGTATTACCTTTCCAATTGATAATGCTATTTTTTTTCTTTTTGGTGGAGACTGGGGGGAGGGGTGCTATGTAGCCCTAAGAGGCCATCACAACAATCCTGCCTTAGCCTCAGAGGTGGTAGGATTATAGATGACTAGCACCATGCCTGCAATAAAAATGCTATATTGCCTTTTTTGTTTTTTGAGACAGTCTGACCTAGAGCTTGCTATGGTAAAGGATGCCCTTGAACTTCCTCATCTGCCCATCTCTACTTCCGAAGGACTGGGATTACAGGTATGTGCCACTGCACCTAGTTTTATGCAGTGCTGGGGATGGATCCAGGACTTCCTGCATGCTAACAAACATATTAACAAACATTACTGTTAAAATGTAAAATTATATGCAGTAACTATAATCTTCCCTTTAAGTAGCATCATTTGTTAAGGCCAAAGAATCATAGCTTACTGAAAAGCTGCAAAACTATCACCAGAATTACCCATTTATCACTCAATCTGTCTGCTTCTCTGTGGTGTTCCTTATGAAGCTTATTGAAATGAATAAAGAGTATATTAGACAAACTGCAGTAAGAGGCAAGCAAAACCAGAAAAGCATAAATCATAAAGAAGGAGCCTATTAAAATATTAAGGGGCTGGGGAGATTGCTCAGCAGTCAAGAGTAGTTAATGCTCTTCAGAGGACCCAAGTTTGTTTCCCAGCTGGTTGGCTCACAACTACCTTAACTCCAGCTCCAGGGGACCTAATGCCTCTGGCCTCTGAAGGAATCTGCACTCACGTGCACGTACCCATGCGCGCGCGCGCACACACACACACAAATAAAAATTTTTAAATCTAAAAAAGTAATATTAAAAGAAGTACAAATAAAAGATGGGATAGTGAGAACTGTGCCTATACTAAAACAACAACAACAAAAAAGGTTAGGCAATGTACTGGGCTTCTAAGAAATTTAGAGGTGACATCAGAGAGTGAAGCAAGTCACCACAGCTAAAAGGAGGCTTCATCAATGCAAAACCATTTCCAGTAGTTCATTTCAATAGGATGCAGAGATCGGAGGAAACCCTGAATGCCGCTGCCTTCTTCTTTCAGAGTAGCCAGACCAGACTGCAGCACAGAAGGGAGAGATGCCTCCCGGAAACAACGTCTTCGTCCATCTGAAACAGAGGATGTAGCTAGAGTTTTCCTGCCTGGCCCACAGTCAGGACAAATCTCTGTCACCCGCCAGTCCCACAGCCGCTCAGACCCAACCAAGTAAACACAGAGACTTATATTGGTTACAAACTGTATGGCCATGGCAGGCTTCTTGCTAACTGTTCTTACAGCTTAAATTAATCCATTTCCATTAATCTATATCTTGCCACATGGCTCGTGGCTTACCGGCATCTTCACATGCTGTTTGTCATCGTGGCGGCTGGCAGTGTCTCTCTGACTCAGCCTTCCACTTCCCAGCTCTATTCTCCTCCTTGTCCCGCCTATACTTCCTGCCTGGCCACTGGCCAATCAGTGATTTATTTATTGACCAATCAGCAACACATTTGCCATACAGAACATCCCACAGCAAGAGGACTTTACAAAGAATGCTGGCGTGGTGGCTCACACACACTTAGAGCACTTGAGAGGTGGAGGCAGGAGGATTGTCACCGAGTTGGGGCAAGCCGAGATTACAGTGCGAGACTTGCTCCAAAAAATCTGAAAAGAAGGAAAGTCGGGAGGGAGAGAAGGGAAAGGGAGAGATGGGTGTATGCGGTTAAGCTCAGTTTGGGAGGTCTAAATGGAGAGTGCCAGCCCTGGCTTCTGGTGCAAAAGAAGGGAGCACAGACAGAGCAGGAGATGCAATAGATTCCCGAGAGGATACAACAGAGACTCCCAAGACAGGGGCATTCATCCTTCTGAGGGTCACACTCCACCTTTCATACCATGACACCGGGCACCAAGCTTCCAGCCCATGTTCTGCCGGGTGACAAGTCACAAGCGAGGCCATAATAAATGTGAAACAGGCGTAAGAAAGAGGACAGAACGGATTTTTAATGACAGGCAATCTTGCAGAAAGTCCTAACTGGTCAAAAGGCTGAGAATAAATGACTCCGCCACAGTTGGGGAACATTATGAGGGCAGGAGCTCAAAGAAGGTAAGAGCCAGAGGAAGGGGTGGGGTGCTGTGGAGTATCATCTTCTAGGCATGACTCGGCCACTGCACTCTGGAACTGTCGGCAGCCTCGATTATCTGCACCAACATTTCTGGAGGGTGGAAGGCCTCACACGGTTCCCTCTCGACCTGAGGATCTACAGGCAGCTATGGCTGCTGGGGGATGCACAGCCGTTTTCATTACTTGGCACTTTGCCCGTGACTCTGTGTAAATAACTCTTTACTCTTGTTCCTGTAAATAACCCCACCTGTAAGTAAGTAAGAAAGAGAGGAAGAGAGGGAGAGAGGGGGAGAGAGACAGAGAGAGAGACAGAGAGAGAGAGACAGAGAAAGAGAAAGAAAGGAAGGAAGGAAGGAAGGAAGGAAGGAAGGAAGGAAAGAAGGAAGGAAGGAAACTCACAATAGACAGACATGAAGTAGACTAGTTGAGGAGGTAAGGGGTGACAGGAAGGAGGAGAGGGAAAGAGAGGCTAATGGGGATGAATAAGGCTAAAAAAAAAAAATGAAAAAATGTAAGTAAATGCCAGAAATCTCAAAGATGGTAAGAAGTCGTTGTTTTTACAGGTAAGGTCGCTAGAAAGCTAGGATGCGGCTGTAGGCTCAAAAGTAATATAACAAAAATGAGAATCACGGGAAATGGCTTGTTCATAACAGGCTTTTAATCTCAACACCCAATGTTTATTCATGCACATTTTGCTTAGAAAAGCATTTGGAGTGATCAACATATCTTATAAAAAATAAGAGAAGATGTGATACATTGAAGAGAAGGATATGAAGGTCATATAGAAAGTCAAGGAGGCAGACCACCCTCTAGGCTCAGGGTCCAAGCATACGGCAGCTAGGTTCAAATGTTGGTCCTGCCACACACTCAGTGGTCCTGAGTAAGTGAAACTGTTTCTGTAAGCCTTCTTTACCTCTGCAAAGAAGGGCTAGTGTCTCAAGAATAACATTTGTTGTGATTAGATTACATACACACACACACAATACATTAAATTACATATACACACACAATACATTAAATTACATATATACACACAATACATTAAATTACATATACACACACAATACATTACACACACACAATACATTACACACACACACACACACGCACACACACACACACACACACACACACACATACACATACACGCTTCGGTGAGGATGAGGCCTGGCAATTCAGCTAATGCTGGTATTAACAGATTGACGTCAAGATTTTGAGACTACTTGGTCAAAAAGGTGGGAAGGGAGCCGTTCTCTTTGTGGACTGTGCATTATTTGATTTGATCCCTGACCTGATGTAAAGATAAAAAGTAAACAAAAACAGTGGACAGAAAAAGAATGGCTGTATGTATACTGTATTAGAAACTTACGCAGTTTGTGGAAAAGGTCTTGGGAAAAGCATATGTAAATATGAAGATTGCTCTTATAACTAAAACCTGTGAGGAAGAGACGTGAAATTGATCTGGCAAAATAACTTTCCAACAAGAGTCATGAAAATAGACACCGCACATGTACATGGGCAGAACTTTAGGAGGTAGTTTTTTTGACTATGGTATTGTTTCCCCTCCACACCCCCAGGGTTTCTCTTTGTAGCCTTGGCTGTCCCAGAACTCAATCTGTAGAACAGGCTGAACTTGAACCCACAGAGAGCTGCCTGCCTGCCTCTGCCTCCTGAGTCCTGGGATTAAAGGCGTGTGCCGCCACCGCCTGGTTAGCTATGGTACTTTTTTAAGGGGCAAGATGTACAATAAATAGAAAGGATGTATCTATACAAATAGCTCCACTTAAGAGTCACTTGCTGGGTGGTGGTGGCACATGCCTTTAATTCCAGCACTTGGGAGGCGAGGCAGAAGGATCTCTGGGTTCTAAGCCAGCCTGGTCTACAGAGAAAGAGTTCCAGGACAGCCAAGGCTATTACACAACGAAACACTGTCTTAAAAAAAAAAAAAGTAACTCAGTGCCTCTTTTTACAATGTTTTTATTGACTATTTGTCATTTTCATGTGCTATTCATTGGTCATACACACATTTATTATGCTTCTAGCAGCCAATACAAATCCCAGTGGGGAAAATTTCTGATATTCTGTATGTCTCAAGTTTGCTATAGTGCTCTATCTTTAGATTCCTCAGCATCTAGCTTCTGAAAAGCCACCCCCTGGGAACTGGGACCAGAATGTGAAAGACTAGCACAGAATGAAAAAGGAATCGTGTATCACAATTCCAGCCCAGGACAGCAGGCCTTCATGCTCTCACTGGCTTCCCTGCCCTTTGTGACGTCATCTTCTATGACTCCTGACATTGCCTACTTTACACTAAGCTGACAAATATGGTACCGCATATTTCTCTACAAATTGGCTTTCTATCAGGTTTTGTCCATTTGGAGACTGTACGCAAGGCTGGGGGCAAGCAGGTGGACAAGAGGAATCTCTCCATGTAGGCACTCTGAGTTCCAAAGATTTGAGGAGCAGATGTATAAACTGAATCTAGTCTTACACAAAATAAATGTAATCACAAAAAAGGACAAAACCAAAGAGAACTAAACCCTCTGTAGGAGTCACAATGGTGATCAACACACTAAGCTGAGCACACTGCTCTCCTGGCTTACACTTGTGAGCCAGGCCCAGCAGGGAAGAGTTGTCAGCACCGAAACTGTCCTGTTCCCTCTGGAAGGGCGACAAGTGAGCCACTCAGAACTGTAAAGGGATTTTCAGAATTTAAAATATATATATATATGTGTGTATATATATACGTATATATATGTGTGTGTATATATATATATATATATATATATATATATATATATATATATATATCTTGGCTTATTCTATACTGAAACAATCGTGCCAATTCTAGGATAGGAACTGGTATCAAAAAAAGGCATTCTGCCTTTGGGTTACTCCAGAACTCTCTTCATTCCAGAGCAGTGGTGATCACTGCTCTTGTGGGCATGCACGCATGGTATCACACAGCACCCATGCACAATAGGCCTGTGCTGGGTTTCTTGTTCTTGTGTTACAATCTTGAAATTATGAATGCTTTAAAAATTACATTTAGGGGTGTGTGTGTGTGTGTGTGTGTGTGTGTGTGTGTGTGTGTGTGTGTGACACAGAGTGGAAGCCAGAAGAAAAAACAACGATGCCATGTGGATCCTGAGAACTGAACCTAGGTCACAGGCTGGAAGGCAGGTGCCTCCACCGTCAGAACCATCCTATTGGCCCTGAAATTACTAATTTTGAACAGCTGCTCTGTATTTTTACTTTGTACAAGACCTTGCAAATATTTAACTGGCCCCAGTGGTCAGACTGAGTTCAGATACATTGCTTATAGATCAGTGATGTTGACCAGTGAAAGCCACTGTACTGTTTTGAGTTAGAAGAGATACTAACAAACAAACCAACCCCATGTGGTCATTGTAGTCTAGAGGTACAATCTTATTTAGTCCTTAGCAGTCCTTTAAGGCACGGAATTATCCATATCTGAGTGACAAAGGTCAGAAAGATTAGTATGTTGTACATATAATACTGGAAAGCAATGTTATGAGTTACATGAAATGATTACAAATGTGTTTAAAATAGACAGCTGGTCCAGGTGGCACAGACCTGGAATTACAACTCCTAAGGAGGCTGAAGCA